CAGGGCTGTCGACAAAGCAAAGGGCAGATACCTTTAGCCATTATAAATGTACTTTTTTATTTGCAGCATAATTTCATATATCTGATGTCTTCCGCATGTATCTAAAATGTAGAAATTATTAAACGTTTAAATAAAAGTAAGACAAAGATGTGGCTAAACTTTTGACTGGTCATGCAGATGAACCATTTTTACTACCAAGAAATTCTCAATCTACGAAGAAGTAATGGACAAGGTTGTGTTAAACTGTGATATATGCATGGTGCCAAAAGTTACTCTCCATCTCTGACCCACTGTGTCTGATGTAGATGAAATACTAAAAGATTATTCTTGAATACTCACCAACACGCAGGTACATGTTGACCGTTTGTATGATGCAAAGAAAACCAAAGCAGATGAAGAACAGCCCAATCTTTTTCCCTTCTAAAACAGAATGAATATCAGTGATGGTAGTACTCAAGTACATTTACTCAGTTACTTCTCAAAGTACTTTTCTAGCAGCATACTTTAGGTAACAGTATTTTTACTTGAGTAAAAGTCGTATTTCCTCTTCCCACTGTAAGTCTACAAGTGACAAAACTTGAATATTTGTGGTTTTCCTTCAGATATTATTTTGTTTGTGTCTTTAAAAATACCAGACTTTGTGCATTATTAAATACTTTGTCCTTCCAATTACCTTTACTTAAAATTTTAAATCAGCAGTTACTCAAGTTGCTCTTACTTGAATAGTAGTTTTACTCTTACTTGAACAATTTTTTTGTGCATCTACTTGAGTAATATTATTTTAAAGCAACGTTACTCTTACTTGAGTACTATTTCTGGCTACTCTACCCACTTTTGATGAATACACAGGAGCAAAATCTTCAAATCAAATCTTCACATAGTAAAAATGACAATAATAAAAAGTGTCTTACTTGACTGTGTGTCTGTGTCCTGAGTTTGAGCAGGATGTGAGTACCTTCTGCCTCTGACCACAGCCTCCTCCATCCTGTCCTCACTGCAGCACACAGAGGATCCTGCTGGAGCTCTTGGGGTGGTACATGTTATGAAATGAAATTGAGGAACCTGGCACTACCCAGGAAATACAACTGCAGCAAAGAAAGAAACAAGAAATTCAAGGCACTGAATCTAATTTTAACCTGGAAAACACAACTAGTTAATTTCAAATAGTGGTCCAAAATTGTTCTTCACTTTTTTTATATATTCTGAAAATCCTAAATATTCACAATGACGAGTTTTGAAATGTGTTTGACAACTTTCAAGAGGCAAGGCATGTTTTACTGAAAGTGCATTGCCAGGGCTAAGAGGATTTCTCTAGTTAAACATAACTCTGATTGAAAGTTGCTCCGTGTAATACTGTAGTAACATACAATTGGAAACAGTGATCTACATAACTAAAGATAGTGTGTTTTCCCTGTGTGTAATTCATGTACAATCATTGTGGACTTCAGATAGAGCCTTCATTTATATTTTGTTTTGTCGCGATTACATTACTAAAAATGTCCAGGAAAATAATCACAAGCAAAGTGTGGGATTTGGAGTAGAAATCAAACTTCAGAGAAAGAAATTCTGACTATTTTTGGTCTTAAATGTCAATTATTAAAAAGTATATATATATATATATATATATATATATATATATATATATATATATATATATATATATATATATATATATATATATATATATATATATATATATATATATATATATACGTACGTACGTATACATATATATATATTTTCTTATTTTTTGTGTTTACGTCGACTCTTACAAAACAAGTTTCTGAAATGCTCTTGATGTTATTTTTCCTCCTCCTCCTCTTTTATCTGATTGCTGATTTGTTTCCTGTGAAGCACTTTATGTTACATCACATATGTATGAAAAGTGCATAATATACAAATTTGACTGACTGATTGAAAGCTCAGTCGAATGGGCAAGATGTTATCAGTAGAAGACTTTGCACAGCACACTTTGAACTAGAACCTTGTGGGGTTTTTTTTTATTAGTCACCCTGTGGCATCTTTGATTCTATGTCTGTATCTCTGTATTTTGGTATAGCCTCAAGAGGAAATATATGATGTAAAAGTACTGCAGATACAACAGTTTTTGAGTTTTCCCCTCCTCTACATCAGCGGCACATCTAGGCTTACATTTTCTTAACAGGACAAAACTGAAGTTTTAGTCATTGGTCCTGAGGCCCAGATAGAGAAACTTTTACTCAAACTACAAGCACAGTCTTTTAACCCATCTCCTCAAGTAAAAGACCTGGGTGCCATTTTTGACTCTGAGCTGACCTTTATCCCACAGATTAAGAACATCACAAAAATCGGTTTCTATCACCTAAAAAACATAGCCAGAGTCCACCCCATTCTCTCTCTGGCCAACACAGAGACGCTGATGTATGTTTTTATCACCAGTCAAATAGACTACTGTAATGCCCTGCTCTCTGGTCTTCCCAAAAAGAGTATTTCAGGTTTGCAATTATTACAAAATTCAGCAGCACGTGTCCTGACGAGGACCAGAGGGCGGGACCACATTACACCGATTTTAAAATCTCTGCATTGGCTCCCTGTGAGTTTCAGGATCGATTTTAAAGTTCTTTTACTGGTTTTTAAATGTCTTAATGGTCTTGGGCCTTCTTATCTTTCAGAACTGCTTTTACTCTACGAACCCTCGCAGACCCTGCACTTCTCTGGCAGCAGGCTCCTGCTCATTCCCAAAGTCAGGACACACACTCACAGAGAGGCATCTTTCCAGTATTATGGCCCTCGTCTATGGAACTGCAGCCGGAGGAGCTCAGGGCTGCAGAGAACGTTCATGTTTTTAAGAGTAGGCTCAAGACCCACCTTTGTAGCTTAGCTTTTGGTTGAAATCTTATACTTTTACTTGTTTTTATTGTACACATTTTATTATATTAATTTATTTTAGGCATATTTTTAGGATTTCCAGTGTTTCCTCTGTAGGAGCCTCTGCATCGGGAGCAGAGGTCAGCTGTGGCTGTCGGGTCTGTCATGCGGGCTCCTGGTGGAGGGGTGGCGCTTTGGGCTTCATCTCTCCCCTGGGTCTCTGCTCCTGATGTAGACGGCTCCTCTGATGGTGCTTTCTCAACTGGTTCGCCTGTATTCAGCCTCACATTTTACTATAGGTAGTTTTATGTATTTTATGTATTTTGTTAGTGTGTGTGTGCATGCATGTGCGTGTTAGGGGTGGCACGGTTCACAAAATTCATGGTTCGGTTCGTATTCCGGTTTAAGGTCACGGTTTTCGGTTCGGTACAGTTCTTGTTGTCATTTTTTTCTTTTTAATCTTTAATCTCCAGAAATATACTTCAGCATATGCTATGTTATCTTGATTATCCACAATTTAGGATACAGCATTAAAAAAGTTATAAAATTATAGTTAGTAATGTAATCATGCACAAACTGAATTTGACTTGACTTTAAGCACATTGTTATTGGACATATCCTACTGTTGTGCTTCGGTGAAAAAATGTTCACCTCTTCTTGATAACCAACACCCTCGGCCTCTTCTATAGCACAATCTCCCTCCAGAAATTCCTCATTATGTTCTTCACAGTAATTATGAAGCACACAGCAAGCAGACACTATGCAACTTACAAATGTGATGTGAGCTTCACACTCTTTTAAAAGGCAGCGCCAACGGCTAAAGGTGCGCTCAACAGTCATACAGGCTTGACTTAACCTGTGGTGAAACTTCATCTGCTGTGGTGTTACCCCTGCACCCTCTGGATAAGGTTTCATCAACCAGTTTAGCAGTGGATAGGCAGAATCACCCAAAAGAAAAAGTGGGACAAACATCTCAGTGTAATGAGGTAAAAGAGTTCCTGCGCTGCCCTGCTCATACAGAGATGAGAGGGAGAAAACACGAGCATCATGGACCTTGCCTGGTCTTCCAACATTTATGTCACAAAACTTCATTTTATGATCTACTACAGCCTGCAAAATAATTGAGTAATCCCCCTTTTTGTTAAAATAATCAGAAGAACTGTCAGGCGGGGCTCTAATTCTTTGTGTGTGTGCCATCAATTGCCCCTGCCACTTGAGGGAACCTCCATCGGTCTCAAAACCCCTGTGCAATCAGTCTAAATTCAGCTGCAGAAGGATGCTTCAGATATTTTGGCTTTAAAATGGCATTTATGGCAGTTACAACCTCTTGTGTAATTAGACAACATGTTGACAAGCCTACAGCAAAGAAGTGTGAAATGGACCTGTACTCCAGGTTAGTAGACAATCTCCAAATGCAAAGTGCTACACTGACCTCTGCTGACACAGCCTGCCTATAATTTGTGTTTGTGTTTGCGTCTGTAAAACTGAAATGACTCCACGATGTCTGTGTTTTTTGTGTACATTCTCTAGGGGTAAGACATGTCACTAAATGACCTGTATTTAGAAACTTTATTCTGGAAATGGTGGACTGATAAACACACTGTAATAAGACCTCTGAGTTTGCAGAATTACAGGAGGTAAAAATTCTGGGGAGTTTTGACATTTTTACAAACATGGATGATTCACATGGGACTAGAACCACAAACAACGTTTGTAATTATTACAATTTACCAGAGGAGCCATGTAAAAGTAATCCCCTGCAAACAGGGTTTTAAAATTTAAATTGCTGTGTAGGCAATTTATTAATTATAGATAATGGTGCCAAAAAACTCTCCAGGACAAGTCTCCAATTTTATGGAATGCAGATAAGCACTTTATTACCAGTTATACCGTGGAAGGATTCTGATGCTAACTGTCACGCATTCATTTTGTATAACCATGTAGGTCCAGCAGCACTTAATCACTGTCTATATTACACTGAGCTTCATCATAGCAACAGGTACACAAATAAACTACTGTTAATGAACTTGTTAAAAAAAAAACTTTAATGAATTAAAGCAGAAATAACAAATGCTTTGAACATTCACAGAGAAATTTTGTCAGATTTAAAGTGACCATGATATAAGCAGATTAAACAAGACTGTGCCAGTGTAATGGTCTTGATTTACAGTCTCATAACAAACAAAATGCATGTGCATCATTATTCTGTTTAAGCAAAAATATTTTTTTCACAGACGAAATCACGTTCCTCAGCACAGCTGAGGTCATTCCAGTTTGATAACCTGTCTCTATACATAATTTCAGCACAGTCTTCATTTCCTATTCCATCATTTGGCTCACCGACACTCCAGAAGCTGAAATCCAAAAAGATATTGACACAATGACATGTTTTGCATTTAAAGCAATCTTGTGTGTTTTTAGGATTCGATCAAAAGTTTATGAACCTTATATTGAGCAGTGAGCCATCCAGCCATTTCCAGACCCCCTCCTCCTCCAGGTCACTCAGTCCAATCCATCTGTTATTTGGAAATAGCGAGTGTACAAATTTCTGTGAAAGAAAGCAGTTTAAAATGATATATTGTTTTTATTTTTGTCCCTTGCTCAGTTAACTGCCCAGCCAGAAAAACATGATTTGACAATCCTTTGGTCTGGAACTGAATCCTGTCTCCCTGATTTGAGTTGGGTGTGACTGACAGGCGGATTAACCGACACGGGAGAAGCATCTTTCGTTCAGGTAAAACGTAAGGGCCTGGCCTCAGTGCACGCATATTTCACCTTACACGAACATAAAAACTGTACGTTTTGGACTGGACGCATATTTTTTAGAAAGAAAAGGTTGAAATGCTAAGGACTGAGAATCAATAATCGAAGCATCAAACTCTTATTTATCTCAGGTAAAATAAGTGATATATTTAGTTCTGAATGATATGATCATTTTCAAGACACATGGTACTAATTAGCAACTGCGGTTGGATTGTCTCAAGTTTGGACGGAGGTTTTTCATGCTCTTTGATCAGATTCTGAATTTGAACAGAAAGTAGAGCAAGCTCCAGACCTGCTCCTGGTCACTGTTGATGATGATGAGATCTGCTCCTCTCTTCTGACAGTACTTCCTGCTCTCCTGCCAGCTCCGTGTGGTGGAGCCCAGGTACACGCTGCCTTGGAAATACACCCAACCTTTAGATGTGTAGTTATCTGAAACAAAAGAAAAGATTCTTTGTTGTTCACATCTCCAATGATTTGATAATCTGCTTTTCTTACTATAGGCATGGTACGTGAGGCCTTTACTCAAAGGGAAAAGCAACTCACTGCTGTTTTACTTTGTGGTGGACAGTCTCCCTCGTGTTTCAGAGAGCCAAAGTTATAAAGTAGCCTGACGGTTCTGTGTTCACTACTTTGAGAAACTCAAGAACTCAAGAAGAAGTTTTAAACCAACACAGACTTACCTAGCTCCTGTAATCTTTCCTCCAGTTTAATTCTTTCTGGAAAATAATAATAATCATATATAAATATAATAATAATAATATATAAATAAGGCACTATTGAAATCTTTATCTTTTATGTTTGTTTTTATTCATTCCTTGTGTTAACTGATGCTTCTTAGTTACAAATTTACCCAGATATAAATAAAGACACCTGATAGTCCTTAAAGTGCATTTGACAAGTTTTTTTAGTAGCAGTGTGATTTTAAACAGAATACTCCAAAATCAGAGGTGGGACCAAGTCATTTTGCAAGTAAATCTCTAGTCTCTAGTAAGTCTCAAGTCTTTGACCTCAAGTCGAGTCAAATCCGAAGTCAAAGTCAGGAAAGTCCAAATCGAGTCTCAAGTCACTGACCCACAACTTCAAGTCAAGTTCAAGTCGTCTGCTTTGAGCTTCAAGTCATTTCAAGTCTTAAACAAAAGGATCAAATATAGCTTTGTTGGGGGTTTTTTTGCAAGTTTTTTTGCAATTCATATGACTTAAACTATATTGTTTTTAAAAATCCAAGGTATATTTATATATAACTTCATCTTAATTTCGAGATGTGACTCCTGGAGCTGCTGTGTGGCTGCTGGAGCCGTCACCTTGCCCTTTGTAAATATGTACAGTTGACTGGGTTGTCTTCATCTTCTTGCCCCATTAACATGGGCCTGACCTGTTAAACCTAATGTTGACTGTTAGGGGGTTTTCACATCTACACCATTTAGTCCTCTTCAAGCAAACTCGAGTACAGATGTGAGCTTGGTTCATTTGGCCTGGTGTGAAAGAGTCTGGTTTGTGGAGATGCAAGCCCGTACATAGTCAGGATGCATGTTTTTCACTAACGTTAACATGACGTAAATGAAAAACGTCAGTATATTTTTGCCCAAAAAGTTTTGCACTGTGGCTTTAATCTGATCATTTTAATGAGAAACATAATTTGAGTCACATGTTTATTCTCACTGTTCTTCATGTCTATTTTAAGACCAAAAACTAGACGTAGAAAATGTGCATGTATATCCTGCAAAGAGTTGAGCCAAAACAACACTGTTGAATTTGTTATTTCAGATATTATTTTGTTACAACTTACTGCTCTGAAGGACTTGCCGTTCTGCTGTTGCATTTTGATATTTCACGTCCCAGCCTGAAAATGATAATGATATTACCACTACTACTACTACTACTACCGTTACTACTACTACTACTTTATTATTTATTTATATCATTACTGTTATCACTAACAACTCACAGATGTGGAAGTATATGCTGAGAGCTTTTATCATGCAAAGAGGTCCAAAGCAGAAGAAGACCAGTAGAATCCAGTTTCCTTCAAAACAGAATGAATATAAGCAACAAATTCAATACAATTTAATAAACATTACATAGGCCTGTGACAATAATTACTGTATCGACTTATGTATTGATCTTGGGGCTCAGTGTTTATCCTGGGTATGTTTTCTTTGCAAAAGTGGAGAGATTTTTGTTATTTTAGTTGTAATACAATAAGATTTGAGCTGTAGGAGGTTGAATAAGTCACTTCTACCATTTATTAGTTGCAGCCCACACTTTTTAATGACACTCTCTATTCATATTATCTTGTTTTAATATAAAAGGACCCATATTACACTATTTTGTAATCTGTGTTATAATGTGGTTTCCTTATCAAAAACCTGGACCTGGAGTTGTGTTTTGTTTCATTTGTTTAATGCACAAACCCTGCATATTTACTGGAAGTGTTCCACTGTGTTTGTAAAGGTGCATTGTGTAACTTTTCTGGTGGAGGATCTGTAAGACACTTTTCTCTGTGGAGATGTTATCGCTTTCTCTGGAATATTTCACAGTATGATATTAAACCTTGCGCCACACAAACTCCAAATTTAGAAAAACCTCCGCACGCACTGAACCACGCAATCTGTGCTTTATAGATCCTACCTGTAGCTAGAATCTGCTAAATCTCTTCTAAATTTGCGGTAAATGCTCTTTTGTTGTATATCTGGGGTGGTGGTCGCTACTTGAAGCTAATTAATTTTTCCCTGTGTAACAGATTGCCACTGCTGCATTATTCTTGCTCATTATTCTTTATCTTATTCTTAGTGTTGGTTTTAATTGAATATTGATTAACAGTAGCCGAGGTCTTGGAGGGAAGTGCAATATTTGATCAGGGGGGTCAGTGCAATGCGAGGTTAGGTCTCAGGGTTGGCACAAGTCACTTTTGCCCAAATAGGCCTCCTTAGCACGAGCACTTTCACCAGCTGGAATTTTATGCCCTTTATTGTAACGAAGTCTACCTCAGGTACCTTGGCCCACGCACTTTAAGTATTATTACATTACCCAGGTTTACAGCGCACCCGCACTTTAACTTATTGTAAATGTAGGGTTCAACTAGTGTTTGTTTGTTTGATTTGGATTACTAATTTGATTTGTTGTGTTTTAGTTTGGGTGGGGTTGAGTCCTTCATCTATGACAATTGAGTGGTGTGTAATTGTATCAAGAAGGGAACCAGAAAATGAAATATATATTTTTTTATGTTTAGAAGATTAAATAAAGAGGTGTAACTTTTATACCACATTGCCCTTGTCCTTTTTTATGCCAGAACGGATTCTGTGAGTAAATAAGGGTTCTCGGTCGCAACATTACACAAGGTTTAAAAAATAAATACAAATCAAGAGTTTTTATCGCTATATTTTTAAGTCTGCCTATGAAGTGTGTTGGGGACTGGCCCTGTTTATGCAAATATACTAAGATACATGCATATGGGGGTCTGAATGGTCAAAGGAGGGGGCTATGAGCGTGTGCAAGAGATTCAGATGCCCTCCCCGGGAGAGCGAAAGGAGCGAGGGATGGATACATGGAGCAGCGGTCAGGGGACAAGTGTTTCAGTAGATTTCAGATTTGGCGTGTAACACTTCAGACTCATATCAGGAGCTGTTATTCTGCCAATAAAAGTCCAAATGAGACATTCAAACTCTGCTTGCCTGGACGGCACAGGGAGAGCCCTTAAGTGCAAGCTCTTATTTGCAAGAGCTCCCCATTACACAAAAATGTAGGGAATATTTTGAGTTCGGGTCAGGTTCGGACTGTAAGCTTCGTGTCGTGCATGGACTCGGGTCACTCTGGAGCTCGGTGCATAAATACAAAAGTAAAAATGTTGAAGTTGCATTTAGTCCCAGTGTTTCACGTCGTCCTTTGTCGGGTCACAGCCACACACTGTGACATAGCAGTCTATGGTCTATGGTCCTAGGTGCTATAGACATAAGCAAAGCGCGGGACTTAGTATTTGAATGTGGTTGTTTGGAGGATAAGAATCCGTGTATCATTCGTTCATTCGTTTTTCAATATAAAACCAAAAATAAGAAAACGAAAAAACAACAGTTTTCTTCGTTATTTGTCTCCAAAACCAAAATGAAAAAACGTTTAACGATTCGTTTTTTCAGTTTTCGATTTTGTGTTTAAATGAAGAATGGAAAAAACGGATAACGGCCGTTTCCCGTTTACGTGACTTCAGTGACTGCGATGCCGAACTTTTGCACCGCGTACGGACTGAACTAGGACTGATCCAGGTCCGAGACCAGACCGAGACCAGAGCGGGACTGAGACCGGGACCAGACCGGGACCAGAGCGGGACTGAGACCGGGACCAGACCGGGACCAGGGCGGACTCCGAGCTTTGACTCCGAGCCTCCACGGGGTCCGAGCCTCAGCTTCGAGCTCCGGCCCTGCCGTGGGCTCTGAGCCTCCGGTCTGGTCCCGGTCTGGTCCTGGTCTTGTCTCGGTCTCTGTCTCAGGCCCGCTCTGGTCCCGGTCTGGTCCCAGTCTCAGTAGCGCTCTGGTCCCGGTCTGGTCCTGGACCTGGTCCATTTGAACCAAAAGCTCTTAGTTCGATTCATTTTCATTGGTGTGAAAGCGTCAGTCGGAGGCTTTGCACCACCTCGGAACCAGCCACGGTTCTTGAGCGCGGAGGACCAGAGCAGCTCTGTCCCGGTCTCAGTCCCGCTCTGGTCTCGGTCTGGTCTTGGACCTGGATCCGTCCTGATTCAGTCCGTACGCGGTGCAAAAGTCCGGCATCACAGTCACTGAAGTCACGTAAACGGGAAACGGCCGTTATCCGTTTTTTCCATTCTTCATTTAAACACAAAATCGAAAACTGAAAAAACCAATCGTTATCCGTTTTTTCATTTTGGTTTTGGAGACAAATAACGAAGAAAACTGTTGTTTTTCCGTTTTCTTATTTTTGGTTTTATATTGAAAAACGAATGAACGAATGATACACGGATTGATAAGCCCCTTGATTTTCAAGAGGGTCCTCATAAATACAACAACAAAAGACAGATACAGTAGGGGAGACTGTAGGCTACATAAATTCAAATAAACAACAAAATCAACACAAACACACACACATACACTCACACACTCACACTTGACTGTTAGACACATAATAAATCAAAAACTATGACAGAGTTCAAATACAACAAGATGAACAACAAAATTCAACAAAATGATCAAAAACAGTTACACGGGATATGTAAATATTGAACCAGACCATTTTTAAATAAAGGTACAGATGTAGTAGTAGGTGTTTCATAAATCTCGTGGTTGACATAAAGAGCACCTATGCAATGATTTCTGCGTAACTGAGCTTTAGAAATGAGGCTCCAGATCTGTGGAGAGGCGACCCCGCGCACACAATCAGAATGCCTCTTTTTTCTAGGTATGTAATTTAACAAATGTTAGGTAGCGCTGTTTAATGTCATACTGACAAATCTGTAGAAACATGTAGGTTACATAGTGCACCTTTAAGCTCCAAACACCTTCACACCTACCACTACATGAAATCACAAGGTGGAACAAAGTATAGGAGAGGCAGACAGACCAATATTAAAGGATTAGTCAACAACGTGTGGACGAAACAAAACACAACTCCATGTATGTGTTTGATGATGATCATAAGAGTCCACTTGGAACTTTAATTGGCTTAGTGGCATAAAGTACGTTCAATATTATAGCGTATCTCAATATTTCTCGGTGGCAAAATAACATTTTTGTTTCTAAATTTGGTATCATGACAGGCCTTAACGTTACAATCATTTAAAAAAAAACTTACTTGGCTGTGTGCCTGTGTCCTCAGTTTGGGTATGACCAGAGCGCCTTCTCCTGACCACAGGCTGCTCCATCATGTACTGTAGATGTAGAGGATCAGAGTGGGTTATAACAGGTCTGGTCTCACTCTATGTGTTCTGATTTTCATCTGAGGAAATGACAGTGCAGGAAATGCTGAAGAATCACATTTGAAAAGCTGAAGAAGCCAACTTTTCTCTTTTACATTAAAGCAGACGTACTCTGCACAATCGAATTTTCAGAGCTTTAAACTATGGTGTAGCTGCTCCCTCTTCTCATTTACCCTCTAGAAGTTGCCTTTGGAGTGATTTGTGCATGTTTGACTAATCCTTAATCATTTATTTTCAAGATGCTATATTTTCAATCCCAGTGTTCATTACACCCGGCATATGCCCACTGCTCTGTACTTGCAACGTTCTCCAATTTTAGCGTACAGTCGTCCCTCACTATAACACGGTTCACCTTTCGTGGAAGTAGTAGTATTAGATACTGACACACAAGCTTAGAGCGCCCTCTCGCAGCTGTCAGTGTGAAAATTTTTTATATATAAGTCGCACCAGAGTATAAGGCAGTCATCAATAACACCCACAGACTTTGCAAACATTGGACTGTTGGCCAGATCTGAAAAGTCCAGGAATTGGAGACATGAAAGGCCTGGCAGTCCATGGGCGAGCTAGTCTATGATGAACAGAATGAGCACCTCGTGTGACCGGCCCTACTGTCCTTTGATGGCAGGACCCTCAGCTTGGCCTGAATTGAGTCTGTTACTGAGCCGATAGTCTGGCAGGGTGTTCTGGTCATCAAAGAACACATCGAGGGCTGGCACAGGAGGGTTTAGCTGACCATATACTGGCTCACGCTGCATCTGTAAAGACAACAACAATCATGTCATTTCATAAGTCATCACACAATGGTGCATGGAAACTGACTGATTTGTGTATGAATGCACAGGCAAAATGAATTTAGGCTATATAGGCTAATCTACTATAATATAATGATTTCTTCCATTTTCACTAAGAGCATGTGCAGCATTGCAATCCCAAATCATCTGACAGGGTTCAGCTGGTTGCATCACTGTGGATTTAGGTTTATTTGTGTAGGGCAGCCTATTAGGTTTACTGACAAATCATTAGTATAGCAAACTGGTGTCCAAACATCCATGTACGTTGATGTGTATTATTGTTTATATGAATGGTTGTTAATGAAATAACTAGGGTGCATACTCTAAAATGAAGGTAGTAGGCAGCAGTAGGACTACTTGAGTAACTATATCTATGACAGTGTATGAGTGTCACATAAAAGTCAAAAAAGCCTAAAATAGCCTATATGCATTTTTCTCACATGATACATAAATATACACTAAATGTAACCACTTAATGTAGCTCCTGCAAACACCAATCTCTCCAATACGTATTTTTTATTTAATTATTTAAGTGTTTTATTTAAGTGTCATGTTTGCCCATATTAGATAAAATGGCAACAGCCCCTCTCTAAATTTGTTTGAATCTAATGTCATCAAAAAAATACATGATGAAAACCATTTCTTACATTTAAGAGTGTGAACTATAGAAGACGTATCAAATCTCAGATCTAAATCTAATCTTTTTTGTTGTTTTTTCTATTCGCCAGTAACTGTCTCACCTTAAATGCATAAAATAATGTATGGATCTGACCACTAGATGGCAGAAGTGCAAAATAAAATATCAACAGTGAGTTTGGACATGTGTTTCTTTTCCTTTCTTTTCCACATGATTTGACACATGTGGCCATACTCATTTTTGGTGTTATCAACCCAGTAGCTAAATGAAGTAAAGGTACAGCTGTTGGGAGGTAATAGTGGTAGAAGTATTGGTTCAATCGTTAATTTGCAGCACCACAAAAAAAAAAAAAAAAAAAAAAAAAGAAACTGATTACAAAACCATGGATCATGATTAAAAGCGTTTAGGCCAAGTAAGAGTACATATAGTACCTAACCCTTTTAAACAATGACAGAATTCCTAGAAAGAAAAGTACCACTGCTTCAGAGGTGATGGGGGAGTACCACTGATGAAGGAGTGCCATGGCTACAGTGCGGATGAGGTAGTACCACTGATGGGAGAGTACAATGATGGGGAGGGGGTGAGGATGAAGGGGAGTAGCATTGGTGAAGCTGTGAAGTCCCAATCACGAGGGGTACCACTGTTGAGAAATCCAAATCCACTTAATTTATATAGCACTCAATAGCAATAAATAAATAAATCAATAAAATCAATAAAATCATCGTTTACATTTTTGTTTTTTTATTCAATATTTTACCAGGAAAGTCAACTGAGAGGACCTTCTGATTTGCAGTGACGACCTGGCCAAGAGGCAGCATAACACAACAGCACAAACACTCACACGTCAATCATAACATAAAACAGTGAATACAAACATGAGACAGTGTAACATTTGCAGATTAAAGATGCAAAAGTGTTAAAGCCTGTGTAATGATCCTGTAAAATACTCTGGATTCATTCATTCATTCATTCATTTCTTTGTTTGAGCCAGGTACAACAAAATTAAAAAAAAACAATAACAAAAATAGTGATATATACATGAACATATTTGTGACCTATTGCTCAAAAGGAGTAGGATGAAGTTTAAAAAACTTATGGAGTCCTACCCCAATTGTTTTACATAATCACGTGGTTCACTTTTTTTTTTTTTTTTTTTTTTTTTTGATCACCTCTGGAGTGCTTCCCTGTCATTTGCAAAAAAAAATATATACCCACATATATACAAAACATATCCACATATACTTACATACATATGCAAGTACACACACTTGCCCTGGATGCAGGTCAAAACGAACTTTCAAAGCTTGTTGAAGGTGGTTCTAGTCACTTGTTGCAGAACTGAAATGTGAAGCGGCTAAGAGCTGTGTGGGCTTTAGGAACGACCTGAGTGATGTATCTGTTGGAGTTTTACCAGTTAAACATTTGTAAATGAACAATAACCAGTGGGTTTGTGTGCGGGTGTGAAGAGAGGGCCACTTCACCGAGGCGTAAAGTGTGCAGAATGGGTGGTAAACGTGCACCTGTGACAAAGCAGATGGTTGAGTGATGAATCAAATCAAGCTTCAGGAGCAGTGTATGTGATGCAGATCTTTAAACTAAGTCTCCACACTCAGTGATTAGGAGGACTCTAACCAAAAGCTCTGTTGCTTATAAACAGAAATAACTAATAAAAACACAGAGGACCACACCACATGGTATAGTTTTTTTCTTGTTTTTTTTTTTACATTTCAACAATACAAACACCTTTGTATAGTTTCAGTTTTATTTTTAACTCTAGCAGTAGCTGCTACCGGTTGCATTGTTGTTAGCACTGTTAGCGTCAACGTAACTAGCTGCGAGCCACAAAGAGAAATGTGCAGCGTGTGAGTGCAAGTGATTCCAAATGATGTAGTTTGTCCCTAGACATGAAATAAAATGAAGAGATCTGCATCCGACCAAGTGCTAGTATGATTAGCGTACTAATTAATCAAGTGTTATCATAAATGTGTATTAAAAATGGTTTAACCAAGCAAAGCATAAGTTATTGTTATTGTAACTGAGGGCAGGCCTGCTTTTTCCAATAGAAGTACTTAAATGAGCGTACTTTTGATAGTAAGAGACGTTTTGTTCAGTTCCTGACAGATGTTTTTTTCAGCCGCTATGAAAACACCAGAGCCTAGGGTGAACATATTTCTGTTTGTGAAAACTCAGACACCACTGAGTGACTTTCACCTCACAAACTGTGCACATGGCCTCCCACTTGTCCCGACTGGCATGGAAAACAAGGAATTTCTTGTCCAAGTCATCGTTAAATTTGTGCTTCAGCGTGTTGCAGACTGACCGATTTAATGGCCCAATTAAAGATAATGAAAACCCAGACATTTACATCACTTTATGAAAAAAAACCCGGACGCCCAGGATAGGATGCAAAAAACTGACATGTCCGGGGAAAAAACATATGTTTGGTCACCCTAGTAGAGCCAACATGTTCAGAGACACAATTCCAATCAGACTGAATCTGACAATCGAGCACCAAACCCACACTGACCGGGCTTAAAGTTTGTCCTACTTTAAGTTGAGCAGCAGATGAGAAGTACAACACGGAGCCTAGACTGAGGTTAGTTTGAGCAAAAGAATAAACACGGTGAAAGTTTGAGATTTGGTTAAGGCCAAATAGATATCTCTTTCATGTGTACAGAGGAGTCTAACCTGAGCAAAACATGAGAAACCAGAGCAATAAGCCATTTGTGCTGTATTGTCTTAAACAATACTCAAAATGGTCAAGGAGAAAGACATGAGATTTGGATTTTCTTTCCTCTGGGATGGTGTTATGTCAGAGCTCAGGTGGCTTAGGCTAACTGAACTATGACTACAACAGACAGCAGCTCAGATAAAGAGGGTCACTGATGCTACACTTGTTGATACTGGTTGCAGTTGCCAGGTGTGAACGTTTTACACACTTTGTTCATTGTGTCGACCGATATCACTAATGCTGATAATCATATCTGTGAGACCATATATGTTCAAGGTCAGTGGAGCTCTCGATAACCTGCATTTACAAACTGCATCTGACGCAGTGTGAGCAAAATAGCACAACTCAGGGCTGCACTGAGAAACAGACACCAAAGAACTTCTGACAAATCAAACTCTAAATGTCCATCGAAGGCAACATATCTGTTTTTATTGTCTCAAGAACATGTTAAATAGAACTAGTTCACTTTAAACAGTTTGCAGTGGTCCACAGTTTTTCCTCACTAGGGGTGTGCAAAAATATATAAATATTGATATATCGTGTCATTTAATGTGATGATACAGTATTGATATTGTGGGCTGCTGTATCGATATATCACCAAGAGTATTTTTTTGGTGTATTTTATTAAATTATTTTGTAACAGCGCCACAGTTTTGTTGCTTGTTTAGAGGAAGGAAACTCATTTATGCAACACATTTGACATTTTCACTGTTTTGATGATTAAAATGTTTGTGTTTCATATGAACTTTACGTAAGAAGTTATTTAACAAAGACTTAGTGTCACAGACATG